TATCAATGTCCGCATCATGATTCTCATAGCCTCCATTGCTGCAAATATTAAATAACTTTGGGCTGTCATTATGTGATTGCAGAGGTTAAGGGTAAGACAATGGGAGTAATATGAAAGGAAAATATTCATGATTGCAAATGTGTATACTAAAAATAAATCTAAAAGCATTTTATGTCCCATGCAATACACATAGTCTTAATCTAGGCAATTCAGATGCCACTCAGTCATCTCTTGTATCCATTTCATTTTTTGGATTCATACAAAAATTTACACATTGTTTTTGGCTTCAACTCGTAGGTGGGACATCTTAAAGCAACATTTCAGTAAAGGGTTTGTCAGAAACAAGATGTGAATTCAAAGTGAACATATACTACCAACTACAAGACATCACATCTGCTCTCAAGAAGGTATCTGAAGAATCTAAAGGTGAAGAATCAAAATGTTATGCTGAGGCACAAGCCTTTACTAAAGAATTAGGAAAATTTCAGTTTTTTGTATGTCTCATTCTATGATATGACATCCTAAGTAAAATAAACTGTGTCAGCAAAATTCTACAATCCAAGGATATGCAACTTGATGCTGCGCTTGACTAAATTCATGGGTACACTGCAGAACTGTCGAGTTATCGCAATGTAGGCTTTGAAGATGCCATAAAGACAGCAAAAAATCTGATGCCAGAAACAATATCAGAACCTACGTTCAATGAGGGTCGTGATGTTTAGAGACACACAAAAGTGCAATTTTTATGAGGCACCAGAGGAACCCATCGTGAACCACAAGGAAAAGTTCAGGGTAGATTTTTTTCTGCATCTAATTGACCCATATATTACTGCTCTCAGAGAACGATTGAAACAGCTAAAAGATACATTGATGCCTTTTAAATTTATCTTTGATATTTCTAAGACAGTATCAACAAGTGATGAAGACCTTTTAAAAAACTGCATGAAACTTCATATTTTACTTTCAGATCCCACATGCAATGACATTGATCCAGTTGAATTGTGATGAAATTAAAATCTTGCATCATTCAGTTTCTGCACGAAGTTCTGCACTGAAAGCTTTAAGTTATATTACAGAACGTGGATTGACTGACACCTACCCAAATGTATCCGTAGCATTACATATACTTTTCACCATGCCCATCACAGTTGCTTCTGTAGAGTGCTCTTTCTTAAAGCTAAAGCTTATAAAAATATACTTGCATACCACTAGGTCACAAAAACGATTATGTAATTTGGCCATAGTCTATTGAACACCAGCTTGGATAAAAACTTAATTACAGTACAGTTATAGACTCTTTTTCAACAAAAAAGGATTAGAAAAAATTATTTTAGGTAATTATATTTTGATATCAATTGGTTTAAATTAATGTAAATAATCTGCATTTTGAATTGCTAACTTCAAACAATATATATATATATGTGTGTGTGTGTGTATTGCTGTTTCATAGAAAATTGCTTATGAAAATTTACTTTGAAAATATAATATTGATGATAGACTTTTAGGTGTTATCTAAACAGAGAATTGCTTGAGAACCAATATATCATTTTAATGACCAATTATTTTTGATTGTTAATGTTTAGTTGAGGCCTCCCACTCCAGATTTGCAGAGGGCCACCCAAAGGCTCCGACATTTCTATATCAATACTTCAAGCCTTCTTTTTCTTCACAGCAATTTCTTGTTCTCAGCTTGAGACATTCCCAGCTTTCCCAGATACCTTGCCTACCACACAGATTAGTCGGGTCTGTTGCTCAACAAACCATGAATTAATAATCTTCACACCCCCACTAGTAAATCCTAATCAAGTTACTTAACATCTAGGCCACTATCTCAAAATCTACTACATTCACTAAAAGAATAAACCTTAATTTCACAATTTCAAAGACAACCAACAGCTTCTGACAGTGCCTGGTTACCTTTCAAAATCTGAAAGTTTTTAAACCAAAATACTTACGTGTATGTAACAAGGAGTTTGATTTGAACACCCCTGGGTACCTAGATACATAGACAAAGCTGTGAAATAATCTCCGGTCATGTGACCTCTTTGTTCCATACTGTATATACTGTATTTATGTGTCTCTGTAAATTACATCATTGATATGAAGAAAGGTCATTATAGAGAGGTTGTTATTCGACCTTCTGCTCAAAAATCACAGTTGTATATCGCATCTGTTAGGAAGTCGTTCATGGGAGGTCAGATCAATGTAAAATAGTTCCGTACACAGAAAAAAAAAAGTCATATTTAAAAGGAAGTCATTATTTGGGGGGGGGGGGGGG